GTACTGTTCTATCTTTTTTTTATTTCTTTTTATTGCTATATTCTGATTGTATCTTCTTTTGCTAATGGTGTCTCCTACTTTCTCGTACATATCCTGTTGGTTAACCTTATCTAGTTGTTCAATGTCTGTGCACCTTTCATTCATCCATTCTTTTTTGCTTTCGCACATTCTCTATGTATTTTCATATTCCTTACACTTCTCATCTTTATCTTTGTCAGCCAAGGCTTTTGGTTCTTTCTTTGGCTAGTATAAGCTCTTCAGTTCCTTTTGAAGTGCTGTCCATTACCATCGTGATATCTTTTCTACAGTTTCGTCTTCCTCTTTTGATACCTCATATCTGTTCATAATCACTATGCTGAACTGTTTTTTTATTGCTTCATTCTTCACCTCATTTAGTTTCTTCTTTCCATTTCCTTTTCTGGGCTCTTGATTTTAAGTTTATATTGTCACTACTGGATTTTGATTGATATCTTCATCTGTCTCTGAATAAGTTTTCACCGGGTGGATTGCATTTCTAAATCTTCTATTAATTGATGCACAATCTATTTGGTTCCTGGTTCTATCCCCAGGGCTTTTCCAGGTATATAGTCTCCGTGGATGGTGTTTAAACAATATTTTCATTATGATAAGCCCGTTTTCTGCACAGCATTCTATCCATCTTGTGTTCCTTTCATCTATGTTACCTGGTCCATACTGCCCAACAGTGTCTTCAAAACTTCTTTTGCTCCTTTCCAATATACATGTATATAATATATATATATATATATATATATATATATATATATATATATATATATATATATATATATATATATGTATATATATATACACATATACACACATATATATGTGTATATATATATATATATGTTTATGTATATGTATATGTATATGTATATGAATTTGTATATATGTATATATATATAGTATATGTATATATACATATATATACACACACACACACACACATATCACACACACACACACACACACACACACACACACACACACACACACACACACACACACACACACACACACACACACATATATAAATATATATAGATATATATAGATAGATAGATATATATATATATCGTTTTCCCTTACTATCTTGGCCCTTGCGTATTTGATCTGGTTCATCTACTAAACATAGCAGTTATGTATATATATATATATATATATATATATATATATATATATATATATATATATATGTATATATATATGTATATATATATATATATATATATATATATATATATATATATATATGTATGTATATATATATGTGTATATATATATATATATATATATATATATATATATATATATATATATATATATATATGTGTGTGTATATAGTTGGATGTGTATATATGTATATATATATATATTTATATATATATATATATATATATATATATATATATATATATATATATATATATATATGTAAGCGTAAGGCGTTGTGAGGTTCTTGATCACCGCTGCCATCAGATGTAAGCGTAAGTGATCACCGCTGCCATCAGATGTAAGCGTAAGTGACCACGCAAGCCACTAGATGTAAGCGTAACAGAGATGGTCTTGGGGCGGTCAATGAAAGGGGTCTTAACTTGCTGGTTTATTTCTGAAGATAGATATGAGACCCCAAGAGACCCCCGTGTCCCCGGGTGGAGGACGAGGTGGTGGAGCTGGACTCTGTGTCGCTTGGCCTGTCTGCCGTGTCTCTCTCTGTTCCCCTGTGTCTTAGGCACGTGCCCTTTTATGCGGCGGTTTCTTTGGAGGGCGGATGTTTATTCCTGTGTGAAAAGAGAAAGGAGGGCAGCACCTGCATCCTGCGCAAGGAGAAAGGCATTTGCTTGGACCGAGGTGTGAATCTGCCATCCGGTCTTGCTACGTATTGTTCACATCGCTCGGCCGCGCGTAAGGCTCGTCCTCGAGCCGTCTGCAACGCATGAACATTGCAGTAGCACATAGAGATACAGGTTCTGTTAGGTATCTACAGATGGTTCCTGGTGATCCGATGGTCGCTTGGGTCGTCGCGCGTCAAGGTAGCGGGTGCGGTGGAGGTTTCGCACTGAGGTGCAACATTCAGTAGCGAGGAGGGTCAATCATCTTCAGAAGCTGCAATATAAGTGTACCAGGCCAGTAAAAGGGCTAAGGAGGAGGATAATAATGTGTTTGTCAATCACCTTACTAAGTTGCAAGAAAAAGAATGAGGGCATAATAAGAATAATTTGTTACGAGAAGGGTAATGTGTCAAGTAAGTGGGTGTTAATTACATGGATTTGTTAGGATTAGCGAGTTCTGTAGAGTACCATCATACCGAAGAGAGAAAAAGTAATTGGACAAGAATTCCATATCTTTGGGCTAAATAGGCAAGTATATATGCTTCGAACATATAGGCAGCTGGGCCTGAACTTAATTCTAACAGTGCGCGTCTCGGCGCTTCAATCGTATGAGCGTAAGTGTGCGGCGGGCGCAGGATTCCTTCGTT